GTGTTTGAACCAGGAATTCAAGGATCTCCATGACCAGTGCAAAATTGCAATACAATTTTTTTATTCATAATTATTTAATGTGTAATTTTAGACCCAATTTGAAGTGGACTGGACTAATGAAAGTTCCTAGTGCTCATTTCAGATTTTGTACAAATCATTTTTTATCTTGTTGCTGAGCATTGAATAAATTCAGCAAATCAAGAGGTTACCGTACCACCAGCTTAGCCAACTGTGGTTTGCTGTTCATTCAGCAATACAGTATTTCAATTTTTTTAATTCACAAAATAACAATAACAAATCCTGTCCATAGGCCAAATTGAATATCATTTAACAAATAAAAAAAAGATGTAGGCATACTATGAAGCTGCCTAGCATTAATATCAATTGTCTTGAAGCATATTTTCAGCTTCCAAGAAAAATGCGTGTAACACAATAATACTGTATAAAGCCCTATCTTGACTATCAAATGTTATTTGGCAAAAACATGTGACATGCCTAAATATGGTCATGATGACATCACATCATGACCATATATAGGCGTAATATCATGATAAATATGCATTAATATCAATTATCTTAAAGCATGTGTTTTTTTTTAAATTTAAAACCTGTTGCATTTCAGCTTCTAAGAAAAGGGTACTGTATGTAATACCATACTACTGTATAAATCTCTATTCAGACTATAAAATTTTATTTGACAAAAACATGTGACATGCCTAAATATGGTCATGATGACATCACATCATGACCATATATAGGCACATCATGACCATATATAGGCATATCATGACTGTATATGGTCATACCACAGTTTTTTGACAGTCTGGACAGGGCTTTAACAGCAAATAAAATTAGCTTAAAAATAGAATTTCCTCATTTTGTTTTGTAAAGTGGTTAGCCGAGAGCTATTGGTCCGGCTTCTTGTGCAGCAGACCCCTTTTCAAACTCGGCCAGCGTTGGGTTTTAATTGGAGTCGGATCGCTTGGCTTCTTGAATAACCCTTATATTTGGAGTTAGGCCGGTTAAGGACGATATTTGTATCCACTTGTGTCTGTTGCGTTGTAGTTAGGCTGGGTGGCGCTGAACTGCGGCTGCTGCAGGTCCCAGGGGCCTAGCCCAAATTTACGATTTCCTATTAGAATGACGACCAATAAAGAATTTAAAAAAAAAGAAAAAGTAGAGATGTTGATTAATATGTTTTTATGTTTTAAGAAGGGCTGGAAAAAATTAATTGAATGAAACTCTTTTGCTTCGATAGCATTTTAAAAAATCTGTCATGTTTATAATTTTCCCAAACATTATGAACATAATTCCTATTTCATATTTTTTCCTTTTTAATTTCATTATGAAGACTTTCGGTTTTGACATTTAGTAATTATTGCTAGTGTTGTAATCCTTAATGAGTAATTGTGTTGAAATAGATTTTAATCAGCGTCAATCGTTAAGCCCTTCTTAATTGCTCTGAGTCAGGTTGTATTTAATTCTGTTGGTGAATATAGAGTGAGTCATAAAATACACATGTGTAGATATTTAAAGATATTCACTGTCTATAATAATAAGCTTAACAAGTAGAAATAAAAGTTAATATTCAAATTGCTTTCTTTGTTTATTTACAGGGCCATAAACAGCAGGGTTTCTGTGATTTTGCCAGGCGTCCTTTTTTGAGCTACCTCCTCCTCCTCCAATGTCCCTTTAAAATTACTTAATAATTAAATTTAATTGAGTGACTTTTAATTTTTTACCATGCTAGTTAATTTAGCATTTGAAAATATTTGAAAGTTAGATGTAGATAATACTGTAACAGAAATGAACCCCCTTTTTGAGCAAACCCCCTTCCCACCTCTGAAAAACTAAACCACCGTCCCTGTACTGTATGTGTTCTGCAGTACATTCAGCATTTGAAATTTTTAAAATGCTTTTGAAAATCAGATGTTACAATTTTGCAACAGATAATACACAAAGAGTATAAAAATGCAAGAGTGTACGACTGCCAGGGATTCGTTGGAATGCAATCCTACTGCAAAAAGTACTTACGCGTAGGGGCGTGGCCTTTAAAAGATGAGAGCAACGCGTATGAGTTGCTAAATCATGTGTAGGGCGCCCCCTTTTTCGTGGCAGTAATTCTAATAAGCTATAGAGGGCCACATTTTTCTTCTGCTGCTAATGCCAACTCTATGAATATTGAAAAAAACAAACATTTTTTTCTGCATTTTAAAATTTTTGAATTTACAGGAGTTAGCTCAAAGTATGTGATGAAACTTAATGAAGGTATACTAAGGTCATTGAATCATTTATAAATTGGGGATTGGAATTAAGATGATTATGGTAAATATACTTCTTAATGGGGAAAAAAACCCCCAGTAATAATGAAATTGCAGGGGGAAAAAATATGATTGACTGAATACTGTAATAGTTCAGACTTGGCACCTTTTGTTTTACAGTTATCAAAAAATAAAGAAGTTAAAGTAATGTTCATTTGTCTTATTTTAATGTTTACATAAGAGATCAGAACAGTTCTAATACCACCACTCCTTTTTTCCCCCTCACACAACCATAGTATGTTGGGCGTGACTTTTTTTTTTACCTTGTTTAGCAACAATGGTTATTTTTCAGATAAAAATAAAAGTTTGTTTTTAGCCATTAGCGTACCTGCCGCCAACAAACAATGGAAATTTCAGAAAAAAGTTAAAGTTTTCCTTTTTTTTACTACGTCAGACACTGTCTTAAATTCTTCAAAAATAAGATATGTATATTTCTTCCTAGTTATATAAGTTTTGAATTTTATTTTTATTTTATCCTCCATCTGGATTTCTTTTGACAAAAATGAAATTTTATTTTTTTTCCGCCCCCCCTCTGACAATCTTTAAAAAAAATAAGTTTGCGCAACAAGGTATAAAGTCTTGCCTTGCTGTAATAATATGCTGAAATTAATAGAAAACTTATAAATGCATAAGTATGGTAAAAGCAATACATAATATAAGATAAGATTTATTAACCCCCCAAAATCAAATATATGAATACCAAAATTTCAAAAATACATCAGATATAATATAAACATTTACATTCATAAATCTGTAAACAGAGAATTTGGTCTCATAAAAATTACACTACATTACTTTTGCCATGTTTTAATATTTAAATTATGATAATTGATGTACCATTATAGAAATGTTTAAAATTAGGTTTTTAACCTTGATACATGTAAACCTGCTTTAATATTTTTTAAACATATTTTTGGAGTGATGTGTTCTTATGCACAAATGTTTTAGCACAGTTTTGTCAGTTTGTATTGACATAAAATGTTGACGTCCAGAGGATAATTTGCAACAAATGTAGAAAACACTTCCCGTAGATGATGTTGATGCTTTCTCGTGGATGATTTCTAATTGATTTTGATTGACATTTTAGCATTGAAGTATCGTGTAACAGATGAGGACGTGCTCCCCTTTTAAAAAATTGTGTACTTCCCTCAAAATTTGGAAGTTGACAAGCTAAAAAATTTTAACAAGCTGAATTTCTCATCAAGATGATTTGAATCAAAGCTTTTTCAAAAGTTTAGTTATGTTAAACTTAAATAGCGCCCTCTTACATCACTTCTTTAATTTAGCCTTTAAATTTAAATTTATCTATTGGGTAATATCTGAAAAAACAAAGCAAAAATCAATTATTACTTTGGATTACTCATTGAAAAAGAAGAATCAGTCAGTTTTGGGGGTCAATGCAAAAAATGACCCTTGGTGCTCCTTTGTGATCCTTGCTCATTTGTGTTCAATAGTGCTTATTTGTGACTCTAGGTGCTCATCTAGGACACTTGGTCCTCATTTGGTATCTTAATGCTCATTTGGTGGATCATTAGTGCTCCTTTTAGATCCTTTGTGCTACATTTTGAGATCTTCGGTACTTAATTGGGACCATTTTTACTCAACTGGGACCCTCGGTGCACAATTAGGACCATTGGTACTCAATTCGTTTACTTTATGTTCAGTCGGTATAACTGGTGCTCAGTTGGTACACTTGGTGCTCAGTTGATATACCTGGTGCTCATTTGCTACACTTGGTGCTCAATTGGTATACTTGGTGCTCAATTGGTATGCTTGGTGCTCAATTGGTATGCTTGGTGCTTAATTGATATACTTGGTGCTCATTATACTTGGTGCTCAGTTGGTATACTTGGTGCTCATTTGGTATACTTGGTGCTCAATTGGTATATTTGGTGCTCAATTGGTATACTTGGTGCTCAATTGGTATGCTTGGTGCTTAATTGGTATACTTGGTGCTCAGTTGGTATACTTAGCGCTCAATTGGTATACTTGGTGCTCAATTGGTATACTTGGTGCTCAATTATTATACTTGGTGCTCATTTGGTATACTTGGTGCTCAGTTGGTATACTTGGTGCTCATTTGGTATACTTGGTGCTCAATTGGGACCTCTGGTGCTCAATTGCCATCCTTGGTAATCAATTGGGATCCTTGGTACTCAGTTGGGACCCTTGGTGCTTAGTTGGGACCCTTGGTACTTAGTTGGGATCCTTGGTGCTCAATTGGGATCCTTGGTAATCAATTGGGTCCCTTGGTACTCAATTGGGATCCTTGGTACTTAGTTGGGACCCTTGGTGCTCAGTTGGGATCCTTGGTGCTCAATTGGGATCCTTGGTACTTAGTTGGGACCCTTGGTGCTCAATTGGGATTCTTAGTGCTCCTTTTAGATCCTTGGTGCTCAATTGGGACCCTTGGATCATTTTAACACACTTACATCTTTAGTGGTATGCAGTGAACAGTTTAATTTTTGTTTACAATGATTAATTACTGTATGGTATTTCTATGGGACACTCCTTAAATGTCTTAAAATGGCCCATTCTAGGTCTTTCAAACAAGTCTTTGTCTTCATTCCTTATTAACTCTTAAATGATAATTAATGAGCAAGGATTGAACATTTGTAGATTTCTTGATAAATATGGCAATTAAAAAGACATTTGATCTTATGCCTTTTTTTCTTACAGTTGGAAAATCGAATCAGACAGCTTGAATCAGCTAACACTAAGCTCACAGAAAAACTTGATGTAATTAAGAAAAATGATACAAGAATAGAGGTAAGGTTTGATTTCATGATTTTGATCTCTAATAATCAATTGAAAAATAGATTAATTATTTAATTGATTAACTGTTTGTATTGTTATTAGTAATTTTATTGTAATGATATTGTATCGTCTGTTTTTTGCTAAGAAACTTATATATATATATATATTTTTGGATTAACTTTTATATATAATATTTGGACTAACTTTGAATGTTATTATGAATTAATTCAACATTATTAAAATAAGAAAATATTTTTTTCACATATCTAATAGATGTAAAAATAATACCATTCCTTTCCTATATATTTTGTATGCATTTGGTTGGTAATTAATTAAATATTTTCATTAGTAAAGGCTCATTTAAAAAAGTATCCCTGTCTAAGTTGTCTTTGTATCTGTGTTTTGTTTCTTGATTCTTTGTTCATGGTGGGATGGGGGTTAGTTAGGAATATACTTTTGATTGTCTTGCCTGTTTTTTTTTTTTAATATATTTTTAGAATTTGTGTTATATATTTTATGCCCATCCTGTAAGTGGCGATTTTTCACTGTTGGCTTATAAATAAATAAATTAGCGAGCAACTGAATGGCTTAGATCAGTGTCTAGGCCTAATTAAAAGTAATTAAATAATAGCCTTTAAATGAGCATGTTTTTAGTGCTTTAACAGTAAATGAAACTTGCAGGGTTGATGGTTTTTCCCAGATTGAATCACATACAGTTTAGGCCTATTGTGAAAGTAAAAACACTTGCTATGCTATGTTAAGAATAGTCATTTTTAAGTACTGTAGTTTATTGGTTAATTTATTGATCAATCTGTTGATCGATTGATAAAAAAAAAATCTGATGATTACTGATTGGGTAGCTATTTAATTAATTAGTTAATTAGTTTGTCATTGAATGATTAATTAATTAATTAACAGATCTTTCTGCTAACCACTGCATATTGTTGCTTAGGTCCTACAAACAACAGTGTAAAAAACATATACATATTACAACATGCAAGTTTGTGGGACAATACAGGTGTTTGTGAAACATGCACATATTTCCTGGCTCTTACTCTGATTGGACAATTATTAAGTTTGATTGACATTCCAGAAAGTTTCAGTAATCTACTGATTGATTGATAGACAGACAGATTGATTGATTGATTGGATAGACAGATTGATAGATTAATTGATTGATTGATTAGATAATAATTGATTATTCCATTGGTTAATTGTTAGACTGATTGGATATTAGTTGATCGATTAATTTATACTAGTTATTGATTTTTTGTACATGTTTGTTTAATTTATTGATTGGTATATATTGGTTTATTGGTTGATTTATTAACAATTAGCTATTGGTAATTTTGCATATAAATTGACTCCCTAAGTGATGATGATGGTTTTTTTTGCCTTAAAATTTTCAAAAAGGAACAAAAACATGAAAACAAAGAGAATAGAATTGCAAGATGGTTGAATGCCTTGATTTTGTATACACGCAATGAAATGTTAAAAAAGTACTAATACGAGATAGGGGGCGCCCTATTATAATTTGAATACAGTTTGAAACTCGAACATCCATTCTATAGACGGAGAACACGTTCAGTACGAAGGCCATTTATGGTTTTTTGAAGGATGCCCTCTAGTTCAAGGTAGTACTTTATGAGATAGGATTACGTTCCAACGAAACACCAAGAGTCAGACTTCTTGTAGTTCTATACTCTTTGATAAAGCTATCAGTTCAAACAAAACTAAGTATCTAACTAAATCGATGGTACAATTTATGACCAAAATCCATCGCACTAATGGTGTTGTGTTGTTCAATGATGAAGTTCGGATTTGAAGGTGGCAATATGTCTTGGTATTAAATACTGTAGATAGGCTTGTTTAAGGATATTTAATAAATTAATCAAGGGTTTGTATAGTCTAGAACAGTCTTAATGTTGTAAACAATATTTTTCAATTCAGTGGTCTTGCCTTAATGTTAGAGAGGTCACGTCTTAATCCCAACTCCAATCCAGGGGTCTCTGATAGTGGGAGTTATTTTTCATGGTTCGTCACAGCGTCTGATTTTCATAATTCGTTTAATATATTTTTCTTGTTTTAACTTTCCAAACCTTTTCGTTTCGATGAGAAGCATCCTTCATAATATTTGTGTTAGTTAATGCCAGCATTAATTCTGAACTATGTCTTGATGGCAAGTTTCAGGAAAGTTGAGTACTCTACGAAACACAAGGCCCCTGGGAATCTTAATGAATACGAGACAGAAGTTGTAAGCATTTTATGAACAACAGCGATTTTAACATTCACATGTGCAATCAGAAGCGTGTCATACCGGTACATCATTTCAAATAGTTGACGTATGAAATAAAGATCTTTAATTGTGCTTTCTGTTAGTGGAACATGTTTGTGCTGTTCTTCTAAAGTAGATAGTTAGTACATTTGTCTTATTGTGAAAAGGCTCCCACTCGACAGTAATTTAGTTCACTTTTGAGGTGTTCCTGTCTTGCGTTTAACTTACCTGTTACCAGATGTTGTTGTTTTTGTGTTTCTTGTATATGTGTTGAGATGAAAAAATAAATAAAATGAAATGCTTCACATAATGATGGCTCACTGGATTTGAACCCAGGACCCTGGGATTTGAATTAGTTTTGAAATGGTTTTCCTTTTATCGCATCCACATTATTTGTACATGGTGGTAAAGTTTAAAATGGATCGGGATGTGAATGTTTATTAAAGCCAGACTCTGGAGGTAAAACATTTATTGATACTGTATGTTGTAACTGATTTTCCTAAGACTAAAAAATAGTGTTGGACGAAAAACGGTTAATGAAATACAGATTTTTAGTCTCTGCAATTAACACCCTTGGATCTTTCTTATTGTAGATACTCAGTATGCATAGATAAATAGACCAATCATTTTACAGTTTTATAAGCATTTCTCATTTGCTCTCTGTCACCTTTATTCTTTTTTGATAAGACAGCCTATATTATATTGATTCATGATGTTTTCCTTATTCTCGCTGATGAAGGCCACAGGAGTGGCAGAAATATCCAAGTTTATAATAAATCAGTGTTCTTAAAGTCTACTACTGAAGTTGTTTCATTATTTTCTATATATTTATATATATACAACTTTTTTAGATTTTCATCCTTATTCTCAATGAAGTATTAAATGATGTAATTTCTATAAATCTGCTGATCATTTAAACACTTGTTATTATTATTAAGGCTGTTATTATTGAGGTTGTTCTTACTGTACTAAATTTTTACTAAGTATAATTAATCATTAGGGCCAATAAAAAAAATGATCAGTTTATCACCCCTTCATGCGTGTCTTCTCTGGGAAGAAATAGTAGTAGATATTGTTTGTATTATTTCAATAAAGTATTTTACTTTGAATATTCCCCAAGGATCATATTTGGCTTTAGCAAAATAAAGAATGAAAATAAAAAGCCTCCCTACCTCACTTTCTCGTCACTTTTCCAGCCTAGTTAAGGTGATAAACTAATACAAAAATTTTTTGGGCCTTAGCTTATCATTTACCGCCTGAAATATTGTAAGTTTTATGTTACCTTTATTTGAAACACTTATATATATACCAGGAGTAACTAAATCTCAAATTATAAGTCAGCTCATTGTTAATGCCGCCCACATAACTGTTTTTTATATAAAATATAATTTCATAGTATTGCCATAACCACTTGAAATACTGGGCCCATGAAATGATATTTAGAAGTGAGAAAAAAAAGAAAGATTTAATTCAAATTAACCAGCTAATGATGTAACTGTAATTTTTTCTTTCTCAAGTTACTAAGTGTGTTTGTAAAATTAGCATTAAAAAGACTAGGCAGTATAGCATTAACTGCTATTGGAAAATGACAACATCTGATATAATATGACATTACATCATTTACCATCCTCCAGAGTGACAATGTAAGGTGACAGTTACACATTAGAGGTGGCAGAATATGGATGTTTGCTAGACCGACATATGGCCAAAAAAATCCCCAAACAACTGTGTAATACCCCTTTTACACTGCCAAGAGCAGAATATTCCGGAGTGATCCTGGATGCATTTCCCATTTACATCAAAACGAAAAAGTCTGGGTTGACCCCAAGTTGCTCCCATTTTACACCGGCAACGAACTTGGGTTCAAATACCGCCCTCAATTTTTGTTGCGATGATGATCATCACTTTGCTCGAGTTCCTCTTCGTTACGAAGGCGCAATTATTGTCAATATCGAAGAATTGTATTTGCAGATTGTTTTTAAATTATGATATCAAGTCTATACCAGAGCGCAGGGGGTTTAACTCGAAAAGTGTCTAGGCCTAGCCCGTTGCTAGCAAAGTTTAGTCCTACCTGACCACAGCTGCGGTAGGCGCAAGGTAAGGCCTAACTCCGGAATCGAAGTTGGGTGTTGTCTACACTGGGGATTCTGGAATGCACCCGGGTTGTCCAACACTGAATGCGTACCGCACATCGATCCCGGGATGTTTGGCAACCCGGGTGGTGTTTTTTGATATTTATACCAACCAAAACTCGGTAGTTTTTTGCCCGGGTGTTGCAAAATCCCGGGTTGTCTCAGTAGATTTGCTTGCAGTGTAAAAGGGGTATTATTGGTACTGAAACCTGACAGACCCAAAATCTTTAAAATCAATGGCTCCTTTTTTGGCAGTAATATATGTTTTTGCCAAGAGGAAAGCCCAAAATACTATAGGATATTTAAAAAAAGGGTGTTTGTAAGCTTTAACAAAAAACCCTTCCTAAGTGTCAATCAAACTCAACAACTGTCCTTAGCGATAATATCCAAGGGGCGGGGAAAGGTCCATTCATCGATTTTAGTCCTTTAGTTTACCGTAGTCCAACCAAAAGGTATGTAGACAAAAATCACAATTACATCACCTGAATACTGCAACATATTTTAAACTTACGCAAGGTGAGACAAGTCAAGGATTCAACACAGCCCTTATGGTAATCCTAATTGCCATTTAATGTTGTTAATATCTTTATGTAGACATAAATATT